AACCATGTGTGCCAGCTGGTGCTACTTTGTACGCACAACAATGCCCGGGTGGTCGTTGTTCGGTGCAACACCCATTCGACAGCAGGCGATAACGATACCATGCATTCACACCCTAAGCAAAGGGGGGATCACACATACATACCCTTTGTATGCATGCAATTATTAAGAAACTAAACATGATTTTTACAATATTATTCCTAATAAGTCTAATAAACCAGCAAGCTGTCAATAGACACTGCGCCGTGTCCCCTGCGAAGGTTACATTTTACAATACACGACACAACGGAGGGTTTCTCCCCGATATTTTGTCGTTGACCAAGTAGAGAACTACAGGGGATGTATTGTAAAATGTAAGTTACCTATACAGATGTTTTTGTACTTAGCACCAGCTGGCATCACTGGTATAAATCATCAGTGTATAGACTTAAAAAGACTCGAAGTAAGTCCAGTACCCAGCCGGTTTCCCTCCACTCACTGAAAAGACTCCACCACATCCCGTTCGACTGCTGTGGGTATATCTCGAATGGGTAGTCTTTCTGTGTGTGTTAAATAAATACAAACACAGAAAGACTACAGTACCCATTCGAGATAAGACCACACTATGTACATGCATACGTATGTATACGTATGCATATTCACGGGAAAAGCAGATACAAGTATCTACTCCGGGCCCTGGATTAACAGCACAGCCGGATTGTATGCATACTATAATAATAAGGCGGATCTCCCGCGAAAGAATAGGACACCAGTTTTACAGAATACTGCTAAATAAGAAGAGAAGTACACTACGGCGAGGCCGCACCGCACGTGGTCCTTCATGCAGTGAACGTACGTGCAAGGTGTAACGTCTGTCTACATTGTCGAGAATGGATTGCTGAGAACACATACTGTTGCATACATACACCAACATCTCTCGTATGGCATCATAGCGGCAACAACGGTGTGGGTTTAGCATCTGGGCCGCCGCCGGCGAAAAAAAGTGTTGCCTTTTGTCTGTATTGAATGGGTGAAAGATGGTTTCGCCACGACGGTAAAAAACTGATCGGCAGGGGGGATTTTGGGATTTTCTAAAAATCCGAAATACACAGCCATATTCATACGGTACAAACTGGTGTACATCCCGAGATGACCCAAGAGCCCGAAATAGACGGAGCGTGAGAACGCTCATCTATTTCGTCTCCATGAGACCAAGAATGACCAAGAGATGGAGAGAATAAGAGCGCCAAGCTATGCATAGGGATGTGCGCCCTATGGGCACAACTCAATACTTCGTGACGGAATAAACTTTTCATACAACATAGGTACACAGGAGCAGCAGTCAAGACTTGTTCCTTGATGGCAGCAGCTGTCGGGTTTCTTGGTTGGGCACGCCGAAAACCAGACATGTTCGATCGCGTGTTGCGTTATATTGTCTACAGCTGGAGGGCACCAGCTATGCATCAGCTATCGTTCTAGGTTGAGCAAGACCCATCTCTCTCTATCTCTCTCTCTCTCTCTCTCCGTCTCTCTCCCTCTGTGTCTCTGTCGCTCGATCTGGCTCCGGTTGGATACTGCTGGATCCCGGAGGGTTCCGGGTTGAAAAGCTAATCGATCACCAAAAAAAAGACATTTTTTTCCGGTTCCTCCAGACCAGCACACATCCAAGCCTCATCCACTTGAAGGCCAAAAGGGTTAAACCCCTCCCTTCCTCCCCTCTCTTACTCACGCCACGAGGCCGACAAACCATAATAACCATACCCACTTGGGAGCATGCATGCCTTGCCTTCCGCAAAGTCTTTCACACCCTCGGACACGAACGCTCGGATTTTCTGATACGTCGGGACTAATATAGGTGTGCAAAAATCGGGCTGCTGCCGCCAAAGTACAACAAGCAGCAGCTGCTTGAGAGAGGAAAAGCGAGCAAAACAAGAGACTTGCTTCTTGTTTTAGGGGTGCTCTTGGCTCGGGGTGTAGACATATCTCTCTCCAAATAATGTCATCGGTCTCGAACAAGAGGCATCGCTTCGCGCTTCGCGCGATTTTGTGAGTTGGGAAGCTGCCAAGGCTCTCCGCCGGTCCCGAGGCGCCTGGCCGTTATCGGGGCAGAAACATACACACGCACACCTACCTGTTGCTGCTGCGACGACGATGAAGAATCGATGGCGGCAGCATTCGACTTGTTGTTGGCCCTCGGCATGTCCCCTTCCACCGCAGCCGGGTTCGACATGGCGCGCTCTGTGCACGCCCGGGCCCTCGCGTGGAGTGGCCGCACACTTGACGGACGAATAGCGGGTGGCCGGTTAACTTTTCTGAAGTGCTCGTCTCTGCGGTCTCTGGGAAGAGCCTTTCGCCGAGAGCGCAGAGGGCCCAACCCCGAAGTCTTATCACATTGATCGGAACATCGAATCGATAGTTTGGACGTCATCGTATTATTTTTTTTTTAAGTCCGATCGACGACGCCAACAGTCAGGATGTCGGCGGCTCCTCGCAGCCCAGCTGTTGCTGCGAAACATCTGCCGCTGTACCGGAACGAACCGCGGGCGAGAGAGACCGCCACCGCCTGGTGGGAGCGGGGGGGAAGCGGAGACCAGCAGCTGTGGAGGGGAGGACTCCCCGTTTTCCCTCCTGCCGCCGTGCTTGTGCTGGGGCTTGCTGGGGCTGGAAAGATTGCACAGCACCCGCAAACACATCGCGGCACATCTACATGTAAATATCATAAAAACAGGCATCTACGAAGAAAGGGTGGGTGGTCGGTCCGTATCGTGACAAATGAGAGACGACCAAGAGGGTCGAGGCCCGTGGGCGGCGAGACATATCCGGAACAAGAGCACATGAGGTTGATGCGCGCTTTGGAGGGTAATCCACTTCGAAGAAAAGTGAGTTTGTTTCAGAGAGAGAAAAGAGAGCGTGCGTCTCTCGGAGCGAGCTACAGCTACTACATGGGGTGCACACATAGCAGCATCGTTGCCACAGGTGAGAAGGAGATGTTGAGAAAAGAGACTCACTTTCTCGTTTGCGTAAGTACGATCCTGCGTCGCAAGTAACAGTTCGGTGATCATGAGATCATCACGACATCACAATCAATGTAGAGATGTAGAGGTGGGGCCATCGTGCTGCGGCAGACGGCAGGTAACGAGGTGTCTTAGTACCGCCAAGTCACATGAGGCTGCTACACAACAATTACTGCTCTGCTGTGTGTCCATAATTTTTTTGTCCGGTGTCACTACTACTGCTGTTGTGGCTTTTTACCACGCACACACACACGTGTGTGCAAATATCATACCACAGCAGTAGTAGTAGTGTAGAAGTACAGCAGTAGTAGTAATTGTTATTGGTTTAGAATATGATCCATCTTGCTGGTTGCTGCAAAGGATTTATTTTGTAATGTTACATACATACCTCGAGATGTATTATTACGACAGACAGCAATCGAAGGGGTGCGTTGAGGTCTTTACAGCAGTACTACTGCAAGAGGCAGAAAAACCGGTTGAAAACTACCTTCTTTCCTTCCCATCACACCTTGGACGATAGGCAATAGGGCTATTATTTATTGCATATCAATAGGATCCTACCAATATGGGACCGATTGCGTGAGGGTATACCATGATCGGTAAGGATACGATATCGTAGTATTTGGTACCGATTGGTGACTGCTAGTGTTTGCATTTTTCCATCCCAATGTTTAATAAATAGCAATGTGTGTCGGTGGATTCCACTAATAAAAAAACACACCACCAATCAATCGGTGAATTGGTAAAAAGCAATCGGTAAGAACAATCAGTTTTTGATCGGCAATCGACTCACATATATATTTTTTAAATAGTATAGGCATTGATCGATCTCAAGACGCGCCTATCGCTCGTGGAGGCAGCCTATTGGCGACAATTTGGAAACCCTGCTGGTGCAGGCAATACCTATCGATAGGCCTCTCGCTTCAACCTATCGGTCGCGCAATAGACTATAGTGGCCTCTGGTGCCAACCTATTGTTTCTCATTTTTGCTTCAAACGTCCTTCGGGCGGTGCAGAGGCGCTGTTCGGTGCTGGGTACATGCTGCCAAGTCACAACAATCATGCGCAAGCAGGCAAGCAAAAGGTGAACTCATATCTTTCTAACATATCATCCTGAGAACCACGAACCGGCCCGGTCTGCTGTGCCGCGTTCGTTGTAGTGGTGGCTGGTCTTGGAGCAACCCGTTGCCACCGCGGAGACATCGCACCAAGTCTTTGCGTTCGCTGCTTAACGATTGCTTTTTGTTTGTATCCAACCAACCAACCAACCAAAGGGCTCATGGAAAGTTGTTTTTGTAGAACGAACGGTGATAAAGTGCAGCACACGATAATTCTGTGCTGGAATCTAGCTCTTCCACGGAACACACGCTAACGAAGCAGCTTAAGTCTTTGGGTAGCCAGGTTGCTGTTGCTGCTATTCATAGTGCTAGTGCTAATGCTAATGCTAGTTAGTGTCTGTCGGCGAAGAGTGGTGGCACACTGTGTTGTTCTTGTTGTTCACAGGTGGTTACTGACATATGCACATCGTGGCGACAATACGCCAGATTGAGCAGCCGTACTCGGCACAACCTTCTGAAAGGAAGTTTACGGGTGAGGCGTCGAGGTTTCATTGGAAATCACCAAACCGCGCTTCGACCGCACCCACCCGTACACGACGACGTGTGTGCAGTTTTTGTTCTCGGCGAGACGATGGGAGGATGAGAAAGTCAGCCGGAAGAAGAGTGTTCGGCGGAGAGTGGCGGGAAAGAACAAGTGTCTATCCCCGAGTTGGGTGGCGAGATGCCTCGGTGTGAAAAGCAGAGGACGAAATGCTGCCATTCAACACCAAACGGGGAATAATTGTTGGGCCTCCCTCGGCAACTTGCCCTTGGTACTTGAAAATAATAACATGCGGAAGAACTTAGTACCCCGATATTAGTTAAGGACTAGGGACTAGGGGTCGTAGCGGTTCCGTGCACTTTTTTTGTAATTCGAGTGCGGTGCAGTAGACACACAGCAGTACATTCTCTGGCACCCGACTTCCTTACAGAATTTTGAAGCAGGAAATTGGCGTAGACATCACAGCAAAGTGGGGTTCACTTTGTTTCCTCTGCATGTATATACATTCTCTGCTCCAACGACAAGACAAAGAGCAATATAGTCTATGTAAACCAAATACGAATTTTCTGTTTCCTCTTGACATATCCTACACTACAGCAGAATATACATCGACCAATATAGACTCTCTATCTTCAGATATTCAGCCTACCGCACGCATCGCTCCGGTCTCAAGGTGGGTCCCCGTCCTCTTATTGCTTGTACAATCACAGAAGAAGCGACAGAGCACTACAATATCCGAATCGGGGCGATGTATTATGTCAAAACTTTATAGTTCTTCCTCGATACAAAGCCACCCATGCCACAAATATGCTGCTGCCTGCCAAAGGCAATGTCCGTGAGGTACACGGCAAAAGTTCTCTCTGTGTGGCTCAACTGTCTTGCTCCATCGGCAAGGAAAGTAAAGGAGTCCCCCCCCTCCCCTCCCACTCCGAAAAGATCTCTCCCGGGTGATTCACCACATCCCAACCCACCGCCGGGAAGTAGGTAGGGCGGTACGGTAGTCCAAAGAGAGTAGACAGACGTCTGTCTTCAGTGTGGGCTTGAGTTGAACTTGCAATATGAGGGCCGCAGCTAGCTATATTAGCTCCCCTCTGCTGTCCTCTTCTCTTTGACTGTTGGCCTGTGAAACCTTCGTCAATGCGGAGGGGTTGTTCTCTGGGGTGCCCTCTTGTTAGTTTCCTAACCTGGGGGGTGCCACAGAGCGTTGGAGAACACACAACACATGTACTTAGCCCCGCATTATATCACGTCCCAAGTTACGCCGCATTTCCTATGTTTTTGTTGTTCCGCAGCCTGCCGTGCTGCTGCTGCTGTATTGCATCGATCAACGCGTGTCGTTCGCACAGAATCTGTCGAGACAGCAGACTGTGTTTCAGTGCATTCCCCTCACCGCTGTACCCCTCGTACCAAGCAAGAGGCTGTTCGGCTCAACCACCCAGCTCCGCCTAAAGATCTCTAAAGATCTCCCTCGGACCAACCCGTCGTGACCCTGTGAGGCTGATCGATAATTCGGGTGGCTCAGTTGTGTGTGATGGGAGCGTAGAGCAGCTCGGCCATGACGGGCCGCACGGGTAGGTAAAGACGTGTAGACGTGGTGAAAAACGTGTTGTATTCATCGGGGGCGTGCTTGAGCTCGTCATTCCATCACGGCATCAAGTCACGCATAACGCTTTAATACCTAGAACGAATCTCCATGAATCTCCACCAATCTACTACACTCCCAAGGAAAACACAAAGAAACTTCTTGTTCCTCCGTAGTTCGTCACTGCAATCCCCGCATATTTATACGCAATATACCACCCCCATGCTATGCTACGAGTATATCGAATAGCCCCCCTGCTCGTATGCATCGTCATGCTCCAACAAAATATCAAAGTCATCCTTATCATACCAGTTCATCCCAAAACAAATCAAAACCAAGACAAAATCGAAAACTCCAACACCAAAACAATACCTCCTCCAAAAACAATCAATCGCATACCAACTCTTTCTTCCAAATCATCAAGAAAAATCCCTAACATTAACCTTCCAAAACACTACCATCTCCACTTGACCCTCTCTATCTCTTGTTCAAACTCGTACATATCCTCTCTCTTCCACTCAACGGCAAAGCACGATTTGATCCCAAAACACCTCTGTCACTGCAAATTCATCACAAAGTCTCTGTGCAACGCAAAAGATTCCTTGCTGATAGCCTTCGTCAAGAAATCTGCATGCTGAAACTCCGACGCCACATGTGTAATCGAAATCTCCTTCCTCTCTACCAGTTCCCTAATAAAGTGATGTCGTACATCAATGTGCTTCGAGTTTGAGTTCGTGATCGGGTTGTGCGCAATCTGAATCGCTCCCTGATTATCCTCGAAGATTTGAATGCACGGCATACCTGCATCTGGCAACATAAAACGCCAAACTTGCCTCAAGAAAAGCACCTCCTTCAAGACGTCGGCAATTGCCACATACTCTGCTTCCGTTGTGGAAAGCGTAACGCACTTCTGCGTCCTCGAAAACCAAGTCACACACCCACCCCCACACATCACTAGTCCTCCTGAAACCGACCTACGGTCTGCTGCCTTGCTCGCATAGTCAGCATCCACGAACACCTGCATGCTCATGCCAGTCACCACACCCCTCTCAAATGTAATCCCCATCCAACTCGTCCTACGCACGTACCCTAAAATACCAAGTGCTGCCTTCCAGTGCACCATCTTGGGAGACGCGCAATACCGCGCTACTGCTCGTACTGCATTCGCGATGTCCGGCCTGGTTTGAGTGGCCAACCACATCAGGGATCCTACCAACTCGCGGAAAGGGACATCAGCACACGCTTCGTCCTCGTCAAAGTCGGTGAGCTTCATGCTCACAGGCAAGGGCACACTCTTCCCCCACTCTACGCCGTACTCTGCAGCCAACTCTTCTGCAAACCTTTGCTGCGAGATCCTCAAAAGGCCTCTCTCTAGATCTCTCTGGTAAAAGCACGCGGAGTACCACCTCAACTCCCCAAGGTTCTTCACGGGGACCATCTCGTTGAGGTCTCTGCCAAACTTGTCACATCTCTCCTTCTGCCCTACGGCAAAAATGTCATCCACGTGGACCACGATGATCATGATCACACATCCATCCTCCATAAATCGAAAAACACATGCATCCGCCAAACACTGCACAAATCCTAAAAGTAAAAAGCACCTCGTCAGGTGCGCATGCCATTGTCGTGACGCCTGCTTCAAACCGTACAGACTCTTGCATAGCTTCACGATCAGTCCAGATAACCTACCACAACCTTGCGGGAGACGCATGAAAACATCCTCTTCAAGCTCAGACTGCACAAACGCCTGCTGAATATCGAAATGACACAAGTCAAGGTTCTGCTCACATGCCAAAGCTGCCAACAAACGCACACTAGACACGGATACGGTGGGTGCAAACAATTCTCCAAAATCAATCGAAGCCCTC